AAGCATAGTATGTAGGAGTTACTGCTGAGTTAAAAACACAACCAAGAAAATTTTTTCAGTCAAACGTGTTCTTATTTTGGAGAATTTAAGATAATACTACTATAGTTTCTACGAGCTTCCATTCTGAGCTATGTCTGATAGCGTTGTGCCAGCTAGTGCTCAACCAATATAGATCGACACTGACCTCACCGGCGCGTTGTAAACTCGAACTTTTACAACCAGAATAACATAATGATGACACGAAAGATGGCCTAGATTGAGATGTAGGGCTCTGGCTTGGATAATGCATAGATTAATTTCATTTGTCAGACACGTGTTACGTATGCCCAACGACCGACTGCCTCGACGTGCGATGTTCAGTGGTATAGGAGTAGGTTGGAAGAAAGCTAGGGGCGGCCAGACTAAAACATGGAACAAGTCCATGAGGTCACTGACAAGTGGACTAAGTCATGTTAGTAAGTGTAGACTACGTGGTTGGGGACCGTGAGATGATAGCAATCGATGGTTAGAGACCCTGAATGACATGGCTCAAAATCGTTTGCAATGGCGTGGGTGCATCCACTCTCTGTTTTTCCCAAATTCTAATCTTCTGAATTCTTTATGTCCCTTTTTTCCTCTTTCCAAATTTATTTCACTGGATTATACTCTTTGAATAACATCTCCAAACCCTAATCTTCCCGATTACTGCTTATACTCTTATTACCTCTACCACTACGGGATTTGAATCGACAACTGCATCTCTGTGCTAATGTGGTGTGGCAACTCGAACTGATGTACGTACGTACGAAGTTCTACGTTGTTACTGACTGACTGACTGAATTTCATTTGTCACTTAAACATCAGTACAAAATGACGTAGATGCACTGGCTTTTTAGTCTCTTCCAAAAGCTCATCACAAAGAATGAGTGCATAAAATTGTATAATCTTTTGAGTATATTGCGTTTGGAAATTACATAGTACATGCCGTACCTACAGACACTAAAAATTCATTAAGCATATTTTGGGTTCATTGTATATCACCATACAGCAAAGCGATTCCATGTACATATTTGGGGTTGGAAAGTCCAGGTATCAGATGCACCACCACTGAGTACTTCCTTCAGAGCTGTTTTTCAAGATGTCAGTGACGAATCCTTTTAGAACGATACATTCAGATGTGTGTCGTTACTCTGATCAAGTCATTTATGCAAAAAGCCTTAATAAAAAAACTCGTACGCGTACACTTTTTAAGCGGATGATCTGGGACTTCAGTTTTGTCCATTGAGTCAAAGGTAGCCCCGCGCTGAACTAAAACAGTGATTGTTGAACTCCAGTAAGTGGTGTCTCAGGCTTTTGAGGGAAGAACACGATTAATATATTCACGACACAAGCAAAAAATGGGCCTGTAAATGGCGAGTCAGTTTTTCACAATCTTTGCATAGTTTGTGGAGTTTGACGTAATCAAATATTGTGAACGCAGTCGAAAATGAAATCATCCCCCGGAAGTTTTTGGAAAGAACGTAGGGCTTTTTTAAAGATGGGGACGACATCGCCTTATTTTAGGATGCTAGAACACTAGTTCCCAAACCTTTCCAAACAACCTAACCATTTTTATGACTAGAGGTTTACCATCTTCCTTTAAAATAGCCGGGAATACGTCATCTGAACCCGGCGACTTGTATTGCTTTACAAACTAGAGCTCCTTGGTGATCGCTTCATTAGGTGTATCAGTAGTCGCGAACCTTGGAGAATAGAACGGTCTTTTTGACATTGTTTGAGCAACAGACCAACTCAGTTGTTGCTCAAAAACAGGTCATCATCCAAGATGCCTTTGGATGCTAATAAATGGTGTGCCATCGACTACACAGAGCGTTCCACTTAGACCAGAATTGTTGCCGGTGGGCTCGGCCGTGTTGAAATGGCTTCTGGTAGTTATCAGATTCAGCTTCCACTTCCGACGTGTTAGGATGCTTCGACTACTGAATTACTTGATCCGTACACAAATTTTGGAAGATTTCTTGAAGTAGAAATCTAATTGTATCATCAAACGTTTTGCGGGAGTAGGCTGGGGTACCTCAAGGCATAAAGGCTAGTCTTCCGACATATACTATGCTTGGTGTTTTGTAAGTGAAAAATATTCCGAATATTCAATACATAATGTGTTCAAACTAGATATAATAACCTTGATGCTATCAAATATGAATCAAAGTAGAAACCAGTATTGATCATACTGTAGTTTACTATTAACGTATAAACTTTGGCAAAACCATCTGATATATATTTCATAGTTGTATTGTGTGAACTGTATCCTTTTATATATATCCTTGTTTCCTATTTCATACCATATAATCCCTCTTTTTTAACGTTATTTCAATGGTCACTTTTCCTTGTTTATAGAGCACCTCAGATACAAGACTAGGGGCTTATAATTAATATCGTACTTCCAATTTATTTATTATTAAGAGGAAAGCATTAAACAGTAAAATTTTCTGTACTCTACCGTTGGTCACACTTATTGAAGTTGAGGTACATCAGTTGCCTTCTAATATTAAATAAAATAAATGAGAATTCAAACTAGTTAATTAAAAATAGAAAGTTGAGTACTTAAAGAACCAAGCTACAGTTACAACCTCTAGTAACACTAAACCAAAGAATGCGCAGTTACAGAATAAATTAGTTTAGCGTTAATGTAAAGCTTGAATCCTTTATACCTATGTTATCGCTTGTTGTCTTAGTGTAAGTTGTGACAATAAGGTCTGTTGTTAGGAGCTAAATATAATTCAGCATTATTCTTAAGTTTTTAGGACTGCTCGTGGATCAATGTGTACAGTAGGTAAATGGATTCAGACGTATAAAGTGGAGAGACGGATGTTTATTCGTTCAGCTTTCCATATGGGCAGAAATTTAGACTTTCAGCAACTAATTTGCTTTCCGGTTCTGTGGAAGTTTTGAAACGATGCTATAAGCACGGTTATTGGGATTAATACAGTGTACTGAGTTCTCTGTGGGAATTACCGCGATTATTTTTGTCCCATTACTTAATAACTTCTTATTTTTGTTTAATAAGATTCCCTCTAGTTTACCTGTTTCTCTTTATAAAGTTCGTTAGGAAGCAGGAAACATTGAAGTTAGTTAATTTTCTACATGAAACTTATTTCACTGTTGACTTCAGTGATTAGTGAAATTCATCCGTTAAGGTTGAGGAGAGCACAACAAATCATGTCTTCTGCTTGTCTATATTTCTTGATTGTTTAGTCTATTGAGAACCACTAGTCACTAGCTCAAAGTGTGGTTAGCATACTCTGCATTGTTTGCTATATTTTAGTGCTTTTGGCGATGTTTCAAAAACAGGCTTACAGAGAAAAATGCTGAAATTCTTAAAAAAATCCTGTATTATATCAGTAGTGCAGATAATCAAACTAATGAACAGGTTAGTTAGAAATACACTTTTATAATACTGTCTACCATTTTAATCTGTTTGTAACAGCATATATCTAACTTCCGAATAAATTAATAATTTTTTTCATGTTTGTCCATAGTATGACCAAGCGTTAATTCAACTGTCGTGTAGTTCATCAGTCCCTTAGGTACATATGAACATAAGTTTCTCGACGTCAGCGGTTTTGTCACAAAAACAAACCGCGACATTTCCATCTAGGCTTTAATTTCTGATAATTTCTTGACTGCCAGATCTTTGGTCAAAAAGGGAGTAGTAGTGAGTGATGAGATGGGAGACGCAGACGGCAGATATCAGCGATAATAGAAAACTGTTCATACTTACTGTGGAAGTGGATTAAAAATTAATGGTAGTGAAGAAAATGTAATTCAGTGATCCCCTTTGAACCCAAACGACCGAGACAGCTCCGACTCGTTACTTTTCGGTTGCCTGATATCAGTTAACGACCTGAATGGTAAGTATTCATTTGGCTTCCGAATTTCGGTATTAGTAGGATAAACCTCAAGACAGGTACTTAATATTCACTCGCATTTGGTCAGCGTATGCTACCTGTGTTTGTGGGTTAGCTGAGTGTATTAAAATAGTGAGTTTCAGTGATTTACTAGGCACAGGTTTTGTGCACAAATTAGAGCCACGTTGTTTCAGTCCTAGTGATACTACTGCTCGGCTGCCTAAATTAAAATACGTCAAATGGGGTTGAAACCTTAAGCTTGCTTTTTGGGGACCGAATTCTTGGAATATTATTGGAATGTTTCAGAAGGCGCCTACACACGGTACAAGTGCTCAGTATATTACCGTACTGTCGTACGTTGTCTGCAAGTTTTGTACTACTTAAAGAACTTACTGAGGAGGATAGTGAGGACATAAGATCAATGGTTTTATATAAGTCAGCCGATGAATATAAAAACACTTGATACAAGTTTTGGGCCTTCGGGCCGAACTTATATAGTGTGGCAGTTTAGGCAAGTTCTCATATCCTCCTGGATTATGGCTTGTTGACTTCTCTTATCTATGTACCGGATATATTACGTGTATGTGAATTGATTACAGGGTTGGAAGAGTTGCAATTTAAACAGATAAAAAACATGTGACTAGTAACGTGAAGCCTGTGATCTCTTTGGAGAGTTACAGGAAAGCACCAGTTTGGTCGAAATTCACGAGATATCAAACAAATGTGTAAAATTATTAAGTAATACTCCACAAAAGCCCTAATTGTTAGAGATTCCTTAAAATTCTTTCTTGGAACTCCGAGTATTCAATCACTTTATACTCACAATATTAGATAGGATTTAGTAATCAACCCTTCGAAAGTGAACCTAATGTAAAGTGAATCAAGTAGGGTAAGAGACCACTCCTAAAGATTTTCACGTGTTTTAGTAATCCTTAAGATGGCACATATGATACCCTTACAGTTCGTCATTAAACTCAGATTTGAGGTTTATAACTGTTATTCGTATGATACAACTGCCTATGCGTTCCGGAGGATGATGTAACCTTTAACCAACTAAATATCTGTGAATTTCCCCTTCTTACTGCGGTCAAACGATCTCATTAAATAACCAATGAATCCAGGACTTATGAAACTTCATTCTTAGCTTTGATACCCTAGTAGTTCTAAAATAAAGGAAACATCTCTCAAACTTTTTGATGTTTTTAAGCCTAGGCTAGTTGACCCGAAACCATTAAAATTATTTTATCCTACCCTTTTAAAAGCTTCCTAGAGTTATTCGAAATATGATGATTCACTATAATATCTCTGAAGCAGCACTTTCGTAAGTCTATTTTGCTTTCTCTGGGACATCCATATACTATGTTTACGTGGACCTATAAAGTTAAAAACCAACTACCATGCGTAAGTCTTATGTTCGTATCACTTATCTCTCCGTTTGGTCGATAAGTAGTGTCGAGCATGTAGTGTGCAAACGTCAGGTATATCTTTACATTTCATTATATTTGATAGTCATATAGCTGTAAAAATGTGAAACCAAATAAATAGTGCAAGTAAACCAAAGCGCGTTACTGAATAACCTCTCGATAAAATAACTAAGGTTGTATCTGTTTGGACTCGACTGTCAAGTTTGGTGTACGTTGTTTAGAGTCAGTGGTCTAGGGTTTCATTCATTATGACTTTTCCTATATTCAGTAGACCAGTTTGTTGTTAAAAAGCATGAAGTCTGTGATATCTAGATCTTTATAAGCTTTTGTAATATATAATAATAAATGATTATATTTCTTTTCGCCTTTCAAGCTCAACTACGTAATTCAGGAAATATACATGGTGATATCGAATGAATATACGGATAGTACTATTTTTCTTGAAAAGCTGAAAAGCACCATAATAAAGGGCAAACAATTGCATAAATCCAGTCATGATATTAAGTAAGTAAATTATATCTCGTCTCTGTAAGTATTTAAATAAAAATAGTGAAAATCTGTTTTGTCTGATCGAAAGATGTTAAAATCCAATTTTTAGGATCAATAATCAACATTCGAATACTACAAAAGAACATAGGAAGTCGGAGAATTGTTCTATGCAATCGTTTCCTCAGTCAGTAAATAATTATAGTTCTCAATTTTCAGAATACAGAACTGATGAGAAAAATTATGACTTTTCTCACTCCCAACTTCAGTTAGTTTTGAGAATGGAAGGCATCCGTGATTGGCTCCATTTAATTGCTTCATGTGGTCTATTAAATGAACTTGATCCACCACTTCCACGTATTTCTTCTATAGAAAGGCATATACGGATCGGATCTTGGAACCTTAACCGCTTCGATTTAAGTAAAGCTAAACATCCAGGATTCATGGAAGTTGTTTGCCTGACCATTTTACGAATGAACGTCTCATTAATATTGCTTCAAGAAGTCTCAGACCCTTTAGTTGCTGATTATGTAAGTTGTCTTTCGATACATTGTTTTGGATTGTTACAACTAAAACATTACATCAGCTCTCTTTTTGACGAATGTACGAATAATTACTGGGTAAAGTATCCTACAGGTTACTTTGGACTCATCAAGTTTATTTCATAGCAAATCCTTTAAATAACAGTGATTGATTTTGTATGGTTTACTGTCTTCATATTTTGTTATATTAGTCAGTGTAACATTTCAAACCAGTAATGCACGTGATTACAAGGTTTTTAATTTGACCAAAAATACATACGTTATTTTTACTCTGTATGTGTTTATAGTTGCTAAGATAACATGCCTTTAACGTTTATTTATTAGGGGTGATTCGTGTAATTATTGGTTTGTTTATTAACTTTTGTCTGCACTTTTTCTCGACCAGTAGCGTATTTCTTATTTATGCATTTGCGACAGTTTTTCGTGTTCATTATTTTCCTGAGAGTTGATCTGTGGTAACCAGTCTGTAATTTTCATCTGGTCAAACTGCAGATGATCGAGAACTTTGTTGCATATAGGTTATACAATAGTAAATAGATAGCATTCAGTGTACAATATTATTTTCAGCTGGCTGGTTTTTTTTGAGAGTGGAATGTACATATTTATCTTCTTGAGATCTTAGAAAGATAAGACATGGATTCGAGTTGTTGCATTTCAAAATAATCCACCACGTAAAACAGAAAACGGTAAAAAGGAATTAGGAAAAATAAGTATATTAATAAGACGTGAGGGTGATTGTGGCTGAAGGATTACAATTTCAGCTTATATATATGGTAGATACGTTTGCACCATTGTGTCTGGTTTTGAAATATTTTGCATAGTATCTTCAAACATCCGCCCTTACTATCCCACAAATCCATGCCCGGACTGGTGACGAGCTGAGATATGATCACAGTTAATGTAAGTCTAAACTCTGTAGTACATTTAGTTTAAAAACATGGTTATTTTGACGATTCTTCCCAGCAGTATTTTATCAAACTGTATAACTTTTTTCCTCATTTTTATCCGTACATATTGCTAATCATTCTAGCTGTGCAATGAGCTAAATTATCCATCTCTTCCCCACGTAAAACGATGGGTTGAAAAATTTCCTCTGTCTACTCCCCCGTACTGGAAAGCGTCATGTTCGATCCAACCAACTGGTTCCATGTTCCGTGCAAAAGAGTATGCCGTTTTTCTATATAATTCTCGATGTGGTATTCGGATTTCTCGGACAAGTTTATTGGAAAAGTCTTCGAACTCATTACCTGTTTCAAGAAAGTCGTTTACACGCAGTCCATGTGGAGCCTCCTGCCATGTATGTAACAAAAGGTGTTTAAAAGCAGATGCTAGTTTGAAAGAATTTCCTTTGTTCAATTTAATATGAAACCATGTGCCATGATTTTGGCTGACCTGATTAAACTTAGTGATTTACAAATATTTAATTCTTCTCGTAGGCTCACTTTCCAGTACTGAATTGCTTATTTTTTCCAGCGTTTTATTTTTGGTTTTTCTTAACCCTATCGCCTGTGATATGCTATACCTTTGTCTGTGTAATTTCATCTACTTTTCTTCTATTCAACTACTTATCATTTTTATGTTTTACATAGTTTCTAAGTTATTACTGAGTAACCTATTTCGTCATAAACTTGAGAAGTGTATGTATGTAATATTCGAGAAACTTGATTACATCATCAGCCCTTATACAACAGATGTTACCCATATCTCTTAGGATACATGTGTATATGTTTATGAAGTGGCATTTATTTTTGTTCATCAATGAGCTAGTGAGGATCAAAGGCAGTTATTATATTATTTTGATATGATTATTACACGTAGAGTCTTACTCTTGAAATGTGTTGGGACATCGTCACTCATTTTGTAAATATGTACAACGCTACCATCTGGACATCAACCGCTATGTACATGGATTGTTTTAATTTACTTTCAGATTCAACATATTAACTTAGTTCTCATTTCAGTACATTTGAAGGCAAGTGGATTAAGAAATAGTCAAATTGGCAGGACTATCTCAGAAATTGAATCTCTTGGCTATCTCGTTCAAGCTTTTTATGAAACACAACCTAGTAAGTATACTAGTGTTTGATTAAATGTTTTCGTACGATTGTCGAGGGCGAACAGTTCGAAATTTTTACGTGTGAAGATTATTAAGACTATCAAGTCCAATGATTCTTGACTTTTTGTTATATTTGTAGTATATGACTAAAGGAACCCATTGTTATTTTTAACACTAACAAAGAATTGTTTTTTGCTTAGTAACTAGTTATGTTATTCAATGAACAGTAGTTCTTAAAAATATTCACTTCATAATGTTTTGGATTTGTGGAATGGCTGTAATCAGGGTCGTCCATTTTCGACCTTTAGATTTAATATGTGTATCATTAACCGATAACTCTTATGAATCTATGATACCGACGAATAGATTTTGACGTACAAAAACTGGCATAATGTCAGGGAAACAATCCTAACTTTTTGAAAGGCAAACCAACATATTTCGATCATTTCCGAGCCTTAAGTTTGTTAAAAAACTTACACGTATTTTTTTCACAGACAAACTTCTCTACAACGTATTTCCAAGTTAATATGAATCGTTATTTATTTTTCAGGGGGAACATATCTCATTATAGCTGGTGATTTCAACCTCTTCCCAACACATGAAGGTTAGTTTAGATCCATAGTAAATAGGAACTATGTAACTGATTAAATCTCTCTGAATAGACTTAGAAGTAAATCATATGTATTTTGTTATGCGAATTTTTCTACGTGAAATAACTAGTGAAAGTTTTTCACAATCTAACCGCGGAATTTTAGTGAGACTGGCAATTGTAAGCAATTTATTCTATTTACGGACACATTGCTTCACATAAAATGTATTGCTATGCAGATATTTGGGAAGTTATTTGTTAATACGTGGATCTACATAAAACAATATCTATCTAAAAAACTCAGAAGAAAACCTAAAATTCGCTTGTAACGCTGGTATTCATGGTCTTCAATTTAATCGTAGTCTACTGTTGCGAATCGATAGTGGTCAAACTATTAATAGGTTTTGTGACAGTATCGAGATATACAGGTAGGTTCTGAACTTTTCTTACAGCTTTTCCCTGAATGTGCGTTACAGCTAGAAATGACCCGTCTCTTACAAATTCTCTTGTATTACACTTAACTAGCCTCGTCAACAAGGTGACGTTATTTACATGTTGTAAAGAAATGCAACACCTATTCACTTTGTAGTTTGTCCACCTATTTTGTGATAATAAATGATTTTACTGGGTCGCATAAACCTCATATAAAACAGAATTTGAACACAACCCGAGCAGTTGAAAATGATAATACTGAATAACTGAAATAAACCAGATATCTGGCGGTTGATTTTCTTACTAAAACTTTCTTAGCAAGTACTTGTCGTCTTCATTCAAATAAATAAATTACGCTATTTCCACGAAGTAAATTGTTAGCATAACGTTTTTAAACTTACTCTCGAGAGACCACATTTTACAGGGAAGATATTTTCTCACATTTACAGGAAACCAAGAACTCCATGTTTAACTAAGATATAATGAAAATCATATCTGTTTCTGTATTCTTAGGAACGACTAGTCTTAGTGCAAAATAGAGTGTAGTGAAATTTCAGGAACAAAGTCAAGTAGTCAAAAGTTATGTAACATTCTAGTAAAAAATACCATTGAGTCACTTTCTGAAGGATTACATTTAACCAACTAAATGTATTGTTTCATACACATAGTTCCCTTTATTATCTTAAATAGAGCAAGAACAAAGATTGGTGCAGAATAATATGAATTCATTTTATTTCGTTAGGTTCTCATCAGCTGCTTACAACCTAAAATATTTAAAATTCAACATTATTACAGATATTGACATATTTATACATAAGAGTGTGATTAAGGATCAATACATGTGTATGATGATGTAGCAAGCAAAGATTCAGATAGAGTTAATGAGCTCATAAAATGTTTGATTCGAATAAATAAATCAAGTTAGAGAGGGAAAGTTCCAGAACATTGAAATAGTGATTAGAACTCATGAAAATAGATTAATGGTAATAAAGAAAATATGAATTGAAATCAATCATTTATGTATGATGTAATTTATATTTCAGAAAGGGTTGCAATAATGACGTAATAAATAAATAAATAGGAGCAAATTAATAGAAAGAGTGAGGGTTATTGTTACCAGGGTAAGGAAAGATTTATTACCGTCTCTTTTTGTATACATAGATCTGGTTTTAAACGTTTGATTGCTAACGCTTCAGCGAATTTCAAAAAGTTCGAGTTTGATTGTTTGTTAATCACCTTGAAGGACTTCAGTATATCAGCTTTATGTCCTGTATCAAGGAGATGTCTTGCGATAGCACTGTTGAATGAGTTCAATCCATTCAATCTTAAACTTTTCGGAATATGTTCTTTGAATCGGACGTAGGCTCTCCTTTCTGTTCTACCAATGTAACTGCTTTGGCAGGTACATGTAAATTTGTATACACAGTTGGTGGTAACATGAAAGGGATACCTGTCGACCTTTGACTGTGTCAAAGAACATGTTGTTTTGGACAGGACAATCAATTTCGCTGCAGGATAGGTTCTTGTCAGTGCAGTTTTTAGTCTCATATTGATTGATCCTGTGACATCGTCACCTTTGAATTGAAGTTTAATAAAAATAGGCTTTTTATTTGCTGTAATTTCTTTCAGTTTTTTATCTTCACATTTGCCGTATTTCTCAATAAATTTCAGTGGGTATCCGTTATTCTTTAAACATTTTTTAACATTCATAACTTCCTCTTCTAGTGTATCGGAAGTACATATTCTTTCTGTTCTGTAAAACAGTGTTTTGACCAGTGCCTTTTTGTAACTGATTGGACAAAAGCTATTGAAATTAAGATAACTACCATTCCATGTGTCTTTCTTATAAACTGAACGTTGAACTGTACCATCTTTTCTTCTTTTCATCGCGATATCGAGAAAATGGAACTTGTTTTCTTTTTCATGTTCCATAGTGAAATGGATATTCGGATGTGCTTCGTTGAAAAACTCTAGCAGATTTATTGCTTGTTGTTGTATCGATTTAGTAATGGACACTAATACAGTAAGAATTTTTATCAATTAAACCAAGTTACTTGCACGCGTCATATGCAAACGTGGAGAGATACTAAGTTTAAAGAAGAATGTAGAGTTTCTACGGTTATTGAAGTAAATGTCATTATAGATGTTGTCTAAAAAATTCGCTGCTGAAAGACATCCCTGGAGGTTTAAAGCTCTGATTTGTAAGCTACATTATTTACGATAATTAACGCTTTGACAGGAATAAATTCACAAGAACTCTCTCAACACAACCTGAATATATTCATCATTGCACGAGCCTCTATCTGAATAATTCCAGCAACAGTTCAAAGTTAGTTTCATAATACCTACCTTAAGTAGCAATTTTGGTTCTGTTGTATTTACAAATGAATTATTTTTAGCAGTAATTATTGTGTTAGAGAAGAAGCACAGTGTTTATTACAACCACGTTTTATATGTATTTTCGTTTTATTGACTAGTATTATTTTTGATAAAAAGATTTTCCAAACTGTTATCGATTCATCCTTCCCACATTATTGGAGGCAATACTTTAAGAATTTCCCAATTAAATAAACGTAATTGGATCAATTAATCTTTTATGCCAGTTAGATGCAAGCACTCAGATACTCCTGAGCCGTTATGAATTTGTATTTAGTACACTTATAGGTTCATTATTTACTTTCACTTGTACATAATTTGAACATTACGCAAATAATTTCCATAATTTTAATTAAAGCTCTCATCATTGTTAATTTAGATTCGATTTATTTATTGCCTCGTTATGCTGATTATCTCTACTTGTTTATTTAAAAGTTTATCGGGTATTACGTGAACGTGGTTTATGGCCAGTACTCAAAGGTGAACAACAAACTACCATGAATTATTCTAAATCCAGATCTAACCATTTTAGAGCATATGACAATGCATGGCTTTCTGCTAACCTCTCTTTGACTTCTGAATCGACTATTCGTTGGACTGGTGATTCTGGTGTCATATTAAAAGGGCTCAGACATCCTTTAATTCCGGAGGAAACAGGAAGTGGTGCAAATGGTCTTGTTAGTGATCATGCTCCCATATGGTTTGATATTCACTTAACGTAACAATAACCTGTATTTATGTATAATTTTTTATTAACGAACTTATGATAACGTTGTACATATGTACTTAATAATAAAGAGCATTTATTTTGATAGCTTGACAATTAATCTTCTGCCCCGTAACCGAAAATTTGTTCACAGTCAAACCAAGATTTTTCGGTATCCACCTTGTAAAATTCTTCTGTGATTTGACGGCCAGTTTTTCGTGGTGTTTTCCGAATATTAGTCACCTAAAAAATATTTCAATGTTTACTTTTGCTTGTTATGTAGGGTTTTCTATATTTGCAATTGTATATCAATTGTTAGTCGAATTATCTGTACATATCTGTATGTTAATTAATTGACATTGGTACCATTTTACTCGTTGTTTACAACAATTACTTATCTCAACTGTTTCGTGCTTATTACATTAAGGTCTCCAGCTCAATATACTGATCTGCTTGTCACGCTTTCCGCGTATACTTAAGATTTACCCCTACTCAACTTTGTAAATTATTCCTTACTAAGCTTTACAACGCTTAAACGACTTTGCCATCTCTTTTCGGTCATTCAGACAACCTCGAAATGGTTGCTATTATATATGTCATTGAAATAACTGTAACTCAATATATTGGAATTCTTAAATACTCAAGTAACTTACTTTGTCAAGTGTTTGAAGGTTTTGAATTGTAGGTGTATTCATTGTGAATGGGCTCAATTTCTTAAACGATGGAAATTCACATTCTTGATTCTGATAGCTTGGCTCTTTCTGGTTGTTCATCAGGCTTCCATAATCAGGGGAAGCGAAAAACACTCTCCTACGTTTGGTAGCTGAACCTGGTTGTTTCAATATACTCTTCGGGGTTTTAGTAGGCGTTTCGGCCATATTCTAAGGCGAAGTTTTAACGTGAACAAAAGTTTTCCTTACCAAATTATCTAGTTTCAAAGATAACGCTGGTGATTTGGGAGTCTGAGTCACCTTTTCGTGAATTTCCTTCGGGAGCTGAGTACTAGCAGGTGGAGAGTTTGCATAAATTTGATGTTGAAATTCCTGATATTCTTTTTCTACACATCGAAGTTTCAATAGTTCCCTATTATTCTCTGCTAAGATCGTTTCTCGTTCAATTTGATCCTGTTTCATTCTCCTTAGTTCTTCATAAAGCCTTTGTTTTTCATCATTTGCCTCCCTCAATTCTCTCTCCTGAATGTCAGTATTAATTTAGGTAATACGTCGCATACTTGATTTGTTGCTTTTACTTCCAGCTTCTTAAGTTCTTGCTCTTTTTTCATGAGCTTCTTTAGAACTTCCTTCTACAGTATATAAAAGTGTTTTAATCAAAGAAATATATTGCTTAACGGGAAGACTGATTTACTGTGAACATGTTTTTACTGCACAGTTGTTCGTTTCTGATGGATATTTATATCCATAGTTTGTTGATAGCACGTAATCCACGAGACTTTGACGAACTTAATTTTCAAACCATTTCTTACGATGAATTTCTATGCGTACGTACTAAACTTCTGCTCTTTTAATTCGTAAGTTAGTGTGTCCATTAATACTGGTAAAACCAACAAATTCTGTCAGATCACTGATTTTTATTATACACTCAACATTTATCTCATTAACGAGATTTAATTTCATGAATCGTTTTTACTATAGCGAGAAGTTAAAACTGCTCTAGCTATCTGCTTAATCTAGTATGTTAATATTACAGAGTAAAACCTACTATAATGTGTTTGGGTGAAAAGTAGATAGTTCGTTAAAATCGATAATCTCACACAAGTTCCTGATATTATAAGTATTCTTTTATTATTTTGCGTAAGTTTAACATAAAGTTCCTTTTTGCTATTGACTCTCTTATAGGAAATCATTTATTATTATTATTTTGTTGTGTGTTGATTGATACATCCATCTGTCGTATTTCTAGTTCTCATTTAGTTGAGCAGTCAAACTTAGCAAGCAGAAGTAGCATGCTAGTGTTGTCAACTATTAATAATGAACTCTATAGTTATTGTGTTAGTACCAGACTGGTTGCATTTTTCTGGTTTCCTCCCTTTAATAAATGCTAGAAATATTTTCAAAATGAATTTAACAATATATATGACTAATATTTCTTATAGGGATCTGGAAAATTTATTTATCCCACCCCTAGCTCGTACTTACGAAATTGTAACTTGGTACATCAGTCATACTTGGACTCCTTAAGATTCTGGATGACAGATTTTCTTTAATTGAAACGAACGGTTAAACTTGTAGATTTATTACTCATATTCAACAACCTATCACTAAAGATTGTACTGATACGTACATTCATAAGATAGCTTACAAATATCGATTAAGTATATCAATTTTCTTGAAGATTCTTTTCGAGAGATATTTCACTCAACTATATACGTTTAAATTTGTGGGCCTTTTAAAAGAACGAATCGTTTCCTACTATCGATAGAATGAAAAGGGTTCTGAACATTCTTATTGGAAATTTGAGTTACTTTGTATGGGAAATGTAATCTATAATTCAAAGTTACAACCAGGTACTAATCTACGAATGTATATCGTTTGATTAGGTAGAGTGAAGTACTCTTGCCTGCCAGAATCGATATTCCAATGTTGTGAGTGAACACTAAATGTTTACCCAATATACTAGTATTAGCATTTTATTTTGTGACGAACTATTTGTAGCATGTAGAGGTGAGGTGCTGCGTAAATTTATCATTACTATTAGTTTGAATTAGAAATCGTCAAATGAAAACTTTTGGTAATAATATCAATACTTACAGGTCATTTTCGTATGACCTTGTTTTTTAGTGTGCATTATTACTTTGTTTTCTATTGGAAACTTTTCGTCTAGTATTGTGCACATACAACCAAAATCAATGGAATTATTTAACATTCAGTGTGTTTTTTATGGTTTAAAGTGTAAATACAGTGTGATTGATTAGAAAAGATTATTGAAAATAAACCGTCTCGTTATTTCTAAACACATACTCATTTCAGTCGAGACTATGTTTGACTCCTTATTCTGTGGTACGTGTGCTAGAATTTTTCGTTTATGCGCAATTACTCAATTTATACAACATAAATCAGATGGTTGTTCCAGACTAAGTTTTGGCAATCCGCTATTTTTGGAATGTTCTCACTGTGATGAATGTTATATCTCACCATTAGATCTTATTGCGCATGTTGAATGTGCACATAGAATATCCATAATGAAACATAGATCGTCAAGCATGGCTAACGACAGTAATGGATTCCTACAAGAAGTAATGTCAGTCTCAGACACAACAAGTTCATCCTTTATCGTCACTGAAGACAAAAGTAGCCATAACTCGATTAATTCAAACGATGGGAAGTTGGCACCCTGTCAGTCGGTGAGTCAAGTGCCATCAGTATTAAGTTCTTGCTCAACAAACTACAGTTCAGTGGGTCCTAGTAGCTCTATTCCTTCGGTTGTTCGTAAAACATGCTGTCTTGTGGATGGAAGTTCTCCCTGTACTCAAATGTCTTCATGTCCAATTTTGTTTTCTCGTGATTCTGATGGCGAAGCAGAATCCGAATTCAGAGATAATTCTTTGAAGGTCTCGAATACTTCAAACCCAGATACGACGTCGCTGTGTAATGAAGTAACTTACTGTACACAAACACCGCTTGTTTGTGGTGAACGGAAGTCACGATCGAATTTTATCTGTGAATACTGCAAAAGAGAGTTCTCACAAAAAGTACATTTACAAAAACATATAATGTCGACTCATACTAAAAACAAACCATTTAAATGCTCAGTCTGTTCTTACCAAACTGTCGAGAAAAGTCATTTAAAAACTCATTTCCGGAAGCATACGGGAGAAAAACCATTTTCCTGTACTCTATGCACCTACAGGGCAGCTCAACATTCTACACTAAAACAGCATTGTATTAAGAAACATCGTAATGCATTTCTTTCTTGCATAAACTGCAGCGTTCGTTTTGTAACACTGAACGAACTTGAAAATCATCAAAAATTATGTTTTCCTTAGTTCTACTCATGGTCATCAATATTTGATTAATCTTGATCTAAAGTGAATAATATAATCTTTTATCAATTGTATGTTGGTGTTTTGAATTGTTTTGTGTTAAAACATGTCCTATAATCAGCCCATAATATACATTAAACAACTACAGCTTTAATATAAAATAAAATACCTTTTCCTGATTCAGTTCTTTGGTCTGTTCTCTAAGCTTTTCTATAAGATTCATGGATTCATTTAGCTTTTTATCCTTGATTTTTATATTTATATTTAATTAGGACTTACCACCTTCTTGCTGCTTTTGGAGTTCTCAGTATTTTTAAGATCAATTATCTCTTTTAAACTTTCAACTTCATCTTGCTTCTGTTTTATTTCATCAGCTTGCTGGTTCAATTTTTCTTTCAAAGACAACAGTTCATCTGTAATACTTTCATTTTGCTTCTGTAGCTCGATTTTGTGATTTTCCAGTCTTTGATTTTGTTCTTGAATATGCTTTTCCCTTAACTTTTGCTGTCCAATTTCTTGTCGTGAGTATTCTAATTGTATCGTCACATCATTTATATTATTAGTAAGCTGGATTTGCTTCAAAATACTTTTCTCCTTTTCTTGATTAAGATTAACCAACTGCCGTTTCAGTTCCTCATGGTACTCTTCTTTTTCCTAAGTGTATACGGAAACTAAATGTAGTATAAATGTTTCCCGGCATAAAATGCTTACTAGTCTTCATTGCATATTTAAAACGACCTTAAGTAGCTTTCTTATGTCCCTGTTGCTATCATTCCTAAGATTCTACTTATCGTATAGACCAACACAGCTAAAATGATGAACTCTGTTAATTATATGCATAATTTTGGACTTATTTATAACCATTTCGCCGAACTGAGTAGATGTAATCTTTGAAAAATTACTGTGTTAAAGATTTATACGGTTTTGCGATGTCTCTGAAACACAAAATGAGTATCTAATGTATTTGCGAACCAAATATCGTCCATGATTTTATGCTCTTAGATTTCAGTGTTGTCGCTAAGTCTTTTAAAGTTGTCTTTTATAAATTACTCGTTTGTCGACGAAAACTAACAGGATTCTTCAAACGAGTTATTGACCGGTTTTACTTCTTATACTTGATTCATTTCGATTCCTCTTGAAATCAAAACAGCAGACTAGTGAAAATAATGTGCACTTTTAGCTTTTCTTGCGGCATAATATACATTAAAAAGTTAAATTGGAGCTTAGAAGTCCTCATCCACTTGTGATAAAGTTTAAAGGAAACATTCAAATTTCGGTTGATGCATTTGCTGGAAAAAAGAGAGACGTCTGGCAAAAAAGTTAAACTTAAAACACGCATTTATTATTAGCGATTACAGTCTGCCTATAAGGATATAAAGCTGCTCCTGATAAAGTAATTAAGACATGTGTTAGGTGTGCTCGACCACCATCTCCCTTATCGTGCTGTCATGAA